GTAATGATGCCAGGATTAATTACTAGCACCTGGTGCATTTAATTCAGCCCTTCACAACCCGCTGACGGGATACGTGTTGGTGCATGGATGAAACCGGTGTCATATTGTTTGGTTAGGTTCTCTCTTCTACATATTTGCTTTGTATTTACCCCATTTTTATTTCAGAAGCCTTATCAAAATATTTTTTTGTGCTTTTAGTTTTCCCTAATTCTCAAAACCAGCATTTCAGCTTCACTTACTTCTTAATACCTGACTATGATGGAAATACACACAGATATTTTATCTTGCTGGGGTTTTATTGCAGAATCTGTTCTTGACTGATATTCGTGAGATGTACTTGATCTCGAAAGCCTTTGACGTTGATTTCTTTTTAAAGATTTCTGATATTAGAGACTGTCGGGAACTTTGAATACGCATGAGGTTGATTATATTTAAGATTCTAATCCGTAATTATATCTGACTATATGAACTATTAGCTGTGCATTTGATGTTCAGAACTGAGCTGAATCATGTACGAACACATGTTATGGTCCATAACCATGAGGAGGGTGTAATCTGATTTATTTTTATTTGTGGGAGATTATTTTGACTCAAATATAGCTGAATGGTGCTAACATCATGCGTTTAGTTGCCAAAATAACATTTATTCCATAAAAAATCATTTATTTGCTATTTTTCCAGTCACTGTGGTTTTGTGACTCGTGACTTTTTTTTCCCATGTGGCTAATAATTAATTAAAAGTTTGTTTTGTTTAAACCCACTTTGAAGTGCAGTTTTCCCCTCCCAAAGAGAGATTGCTTTTCAAATGCTGTTTCATTCTATTATTATTTTTAATTTATTGTATGATTGCTTAGCTTTGTCTCTATCTATAGAAATGATGGTTTAGAGAGTGAATTATGAGTTGAATGTACATCAGATATCCTAATCTTTCATCAAATCTCATCTAACATTTCTGGTGAAAGATATTAGGCTATTGTTTTATTTAGTTCTGAATTATACTTTGGAACATGTACAGGGCTTGGGCATTGAATATGAAACACTGGCCAGCAGTAGTACTACATTGGGGAGTTTATATCTATCTTGTGCAGCCTGGTCTTCAATCTTAACTGATTGTCCTCCAATGATGTAATGGGAGACATATCTGCAGGATCTATTTTAAAGTGGGGTTGAACATCTATATCTTCACATTCACCAGATCTGAATACTTTAATAATAGCTGCTGCCTTGAAGAGGAGATCCTTATGAGCCATTTTGAATGTGGATGGCGCCCATCCCCTCTTTGTTCTGTGCAGGTTATAAACTGAATACTAAATATACATGTTTTATACCTAAAAGGAGGTGTTGATATTTTTACTGCCCGACTTCTGTACATCTATCATCACAAAAACTAGCAACTATCATCACAACTTGTTAGCGTAGTTGTTGTTGTTCAGTGAACTCATTAGCATATTCAGTGCTTTAATAGGGTTTTGTGAGTGTGTGAGAGCATAAACATATAATTTATTATAATTTGATTTGGATTTTTCATGTGTTCAACTGCTGCTATTTTAGGTAGTCCCTTAATGTTTGTTTTCTGGCTGTCTCTTCTGAGAAGAAGAGCCAATGAAGTCTATGAAAAGACATCTGCACAAGAAAGCTGAATGCAGTGAAATAGATGTTGTACATTTACTTGATATTTATTATCATTATTTATGATCGCATTAACTTTGTCGACCTTTACCTCTGCACATTGGGAAATGAACTCTGGTGTGTGAAAGATCTATACAGACATGTGGAAGTTTTTGTGTCACCAAAATAAAAGATTGATGCTTACAGACTTGTCTCTCTTGTCTTTTAACGTGCTAATTTATTTTTCATCCTTTTGTTTGTCATCTGAAACTGTGGACACTCTTCAACTTCAAGACACAACCTGATATTTAAATTGAAGTATCTTCACAAGAACCTGTAGTTCAGCTTCATTCTTTTCTTACTGTTTTAGTATTATTTACTGAAACGAAAATGTTTGTTTGGATTGTTATTTATTTGTTTTTGGATTGTTATAGTGGGTATACAATGTTTTACTTTTTTTTAACTTTGCAGCCTTCTCAACAAATCTGAAACGTGAACGTTGTACACTTTTCTCATCCTCAACAATTCCCATTTTCACATTTAAAGCATTTACAGGATCGTTTTTAAATAAACGTAATACAATCTTATTCTGAATAGCAACGATCGTTTTTTTTCAGCTACGGAACCATTGTTTTCTGAATATTGTTTGTGCCGGACGTTTTATTCCGTTGCTCCCCCTGCATGTTCCGGATTATTTTTTCCGTTGCAGTGACTTTGAACTGGGCGAACATGCTGCGGATATTTTTAAAAAATAAAGGTTAGTGTAATTAAATTTTTCTGAATGATGTTTATGTGCATGTTATCAGTATTTTTTTAGTCAGCCATACAGATCTCCGTACATGTACTGTAACAGTTGAAGATGGCAAACTAAAGGTATCAGACCGTTAAATATTTGTCAATGAGTGGTTTGGTGCCCAAATAGTTTTATCATCAGGACAATTCTGACGTTTACCGTTATAGAACGTGAATTAAAGTGACACCATGGTCCAAATGCAGTTGGATTGCATTTAAAATTATTTCCTTTTGAAAACCTAATTTAAGTCGATTTCATTTTTTTACAGATGCTCTCCATTCTACTTTGAAAAGGTTTCAGAGTTCGACGAGCAGTGTTTATCCTGCCAGGTAAAGCACATTTATTTGCAGCATCACAAAAGCTAATTCAGTCAAGTTGATTTTATTAATTAACACCTAAATTGTAGAATTCAGATGTGTGAAGTATTCAATGAAGTCTGTGTTTCTGTTCTATCATTAATAAATATATAAAAAATATATAAGAAAGTGTAAATTAAATGAATTTTGCATTGCAGAAGTTTTGACAAGATATATAATGTGGACTAAATTGTTAGTCCCTATTATTACATGTGACATTTTGTGATCTAACCCAGTGTTTAAAATTATTTTTTTAGTAGTTTCTATTTCCTTTAGATTTCTTATAATAAACTTTTTTTTTTTACCACCTTACATATTGTCTGCTTTCTCAGTTATGTCCCTTTAACGTCACTATCAAGACCCCCCTGGCCTGAACTTCCCCCATTTGATCCTCAGGAGGAGGAAAAAAGGCATAAAGGCAAGTCCTCTAAGTTTATATTACACAGAAACCTAGGTTGCTAGGGTAAACAGTTTGGTTGTTTGGGAGCTTTGAGTGATGTCATAAAAATGTAAGCTGTTACACTATACTATATATAGGTAAGGGATATTTTTTTACTTTTATTTAACTTTCTTGTTGCATCAAATAAAGTTAAAAGCATTCATTATCTGCAAGACTTGGACATCTAAAATCATAAACACTTCTGAAAAACAAAACATGGCAGTTTTGCAGTTTTATTTATTCATGGTGCTTTTATTTTTCTCTTTTACCTGACTTTTCTTGTTCTTTTTGTTCAGCTGTGGTAGAGAAGGTGAACTCTGCGATTGCGAAAGGGGATTTTGGGCGTCTCTTTGCTGTGGTGCATTTTGCTTCTCGCCAGTGGAAGGTGACGAATGAAGATCTGATTATCATCGAAAACCACATTGAAGCAGAATGTGGAGACAGGATACGAATGGAAAAGGTACAGCTGGATTAACATTCATCCAATCATTTTCCAACCCGCTTATATTCCCTTTTGGGGTCACGGAGGTCTGTCGGTGCCTATCTCCAGCGCATCTTGGGTGAGGGGGGGGGGGGTTCACCCTGGACAGGTCGCCAGTCCATCACAGGGCAACATTCACTCACACATTCACACCTAGGGGGATTTTAGATTATTCAATTAACCTAACCACATGTTTTTGGGATTGTGGGGGAAACTGGAGTACCCATAGGAGAACATGCAAACTCCTTCCAGGAAGATCACCGGCGAGCCTCGAACCAGCAACCTTCTAACTGAAAGGCCACAGTGCTACCCACTGGATTAACATTCAATCATAAATCTGAAGGAAAATGTCAGTCTGTAGAAGGTTCTCGAGGAGAGCAGTGTTTTATTTTCAGTTTTATGTTTGAGGTAACAGGTTTGGTGGGGGAGGGGTATTTTGATTCACATTAATTGGTTGAATGTTTTACACAATTAAAAGCTCTTCACTCTCATTAAATTGGAAAAGTGGAATTATTTGCTCAAATTGCACCCTTGCTGTGGGGTGTATAATGTTCTCCTTTTATCTTGAGGAATTACAGAGCAGTCCTCATGCGCTTCTTTCGTTATATGTAGCAATATGCAGACGTCCTCACTTGTCCCACATGAATAATCTTTGAGGAACGTTGTTTTAAATATTCTAATATAGTTCCAGACATTACATTCCAAACGAGTGAATATTTGAAAGAGAGAGATGCAGGTCACTGAATTCTTATAAATGTAGAATAGTTATTTAATGAGTTAACCGTGTTTGTCATTTGTGTCCCTTTATTCCAGGTGCTACTAGTTGGCTCAAGTGATTTCACTCTTTTGGGAAGACCACTTCTGGGGTAAGAATCCGAATCATACAAACAAATATAACAGAAAAATTAAATAGAGGGTACGACATTGGTATCACTTTCCCACCAGACCAGAAGTTATCCTGACGATTGTATTCAAGCTAAACATAATTATACTTGACTGTTATCCCCATGATTTAACCAGCTTTCCCTGTAGAGATTTGGCCAGAAATTGTATTTCCTGAAATTTACCTGTCCATGACTTCCAGTAGCCATTTACATTGCAAATTAAAACATTTACACTCTGAGAATATTTTTTTGTCATTATTTAGAGAAACAAAAAGGTTTTTGAATACACAAGCAGCGGTTATACATATTTTTAAAATAGGCAACTGAAATGAAATGCTTTTCAATACTTTACAAAATTTTTCCCTGTTCAAAGATAAAAAAATAAACAATAAAAAAGCGAGTTACATTTCAAAGAATGAACAAATTTAATTAGTTTTGGCTTTCCCTGGGGTTCAAACCCATGATCTTTGTGTTGGTAACACAGTGCTCTACCGACTGAGCTCAAGGAAAATGAAGAAATATTTTTGATGATAGTTGCTTGTCATTACAAGTGTGTTGCCTGAATATTTAGTTATAAAAAACTGATTTAAAATGGCTAGGGGGTGCATTTCATGGTAGGGGGTGCTCTTTCCAGTACAACACTAAGGAAATAAAGCTGGTCAACACAGCCTAAAAAAAAAAATTCAATTTCTGATTTAAATCTTTTTTTTTTCATCTGCAGAAAACAAAGAACATGTTCAATTCTAGCGCTGTAATAATGTTAAATGATACGTTTTAATCTGTTATTTTGTTTTAAATTGAAACGAAGCACAAAATAGCATGTGTACAGTTATTTTATCAATAACAATGAATGGAGAGATGACACTCTATGCCTGTGATTATATCTGGAAACGGAACTCTTTTGTTAAATCAGCATTGCACACTAAATATATGTTTTGTGACCTCACTTTAAACTACATCCAGGAGAGATTTGGTACAAGTTGAGGCGACTGTGGTGGAGAAAACTGAAACCTGGCCGAAGGTGCACATGGTTTTCTGGAAAAGACATCGATTTCAGAAAAAGAGATGTACGTTGATCTATAGAAACAAGAGAAGGTAGTTTTTGTGAACTCGTGCACTAAAATATATTTTGTTCCACAGTCATAATTCAGCCACAGACGGTACTGCGGATCAACACCATTGAGATCTTACCCAAACTCTGTTGAGAAAGGATGAAACTCTTCTGTGAATCAGGAAGGGCTTTCCCTTTGAGAACATGTAAATAAAATGCTCAGTTTTTCAGAATAGTTCATCTGATTCTGTTTGTAAATAAAATGTTTATTGTATTCCTCAATAAATATTTGCGTGTTTGAAATGTGGCCATTTTTCTAGTGATGCTCGTGAGAGAAATAATCAGGGATTGTCAAGTTTTTTGAAGCCACAGCATTATTTAAACTAGTCCTACCTCATCCTCGTCAACCTTGTCCGAGCTTCACTCCTCCCAATCTCCGACGAAATGTAGGTTGCGTTGGTTAAGCGTCTTTCAAAAGGGTGTACTACATGGATAGTATCTGCACCCGGACCGCTTGCCTTGTATTTTCGTTGCCTTAGACTACAAGGCAAGTCCTGGTGGTGAACTTGTGAAATGTGTTTAGAAACCACTTAACTATACAAAAATGACAATTTGGGATTTAAATGTAGACTTTGATTACACAGCGAGGCCACTACGTCTAATTTAACAACATAATCTCTTAATGTTTGTAGTAAACTTTCTGATAATGAAAAACCACAAAGTGAGGATTAAAATGGAAAGTGGATATCGTTTTGTACATCTATTGAACTCTAAATAGTTCCATTTTTCCTGCCCTTAAGATGACTATTTACTGTATAAAAGTATTTGTGACAATGTTATTTTACTTGGGTTTACTAAAGAATATGTATACAACTAACTGCATTCTGAGAAGCATGATAAATGATATTTGGTGTGTCTAACCAAACCAGAATATGTTTAAACAAATACCTCAAAGGCCCTGGATGCTAAAGGATTTCCTACTAAAATGTAGGGGTATAATGACACACACTGGACATAATATGTTGTGTATAACAATGTACATTTACAATTTTGAAAATTTAAACTATAAAAAAGTGCTTAACATTTACAAAACCAATTAGGAGCAACTGATTAAAATGAAGCATAATTTAATGAGCCGTAAAAATAACACCGCCAGGGTCTAGTTTGATACGTATTAGATTGTGTAATATCCATCCTGTAGGGGGCAGCAAAATGCATAAATCCAGAGAAGTAAACATTAAAGAGGAAGACCTTTTTATACACTTTTTGTGATATTTAGGGTGGATTTCTGTTCTGCTCTCATGCTGCTCAGTAACTCTTCTACGTGTGTGAAGCTTTCCTCTCCAATCAGCATTTAAAAAACTTAACTCAAAAGATTCGGCAAAATGAAAACATTTCATGAAAATAAATGATTACAAAGGTCTGACCAAGTGCCATTCACTTACACATGGGGAAAGTGAGGTTTATTTATGTACATCCAGGGGATTATCGAGGCACCTTTGGTTTTCTTATTCAGCAAGCTGTGTGACACACTTTGTTAAGATTGATGGATGGACTTACCCACAATCCACTTCCAGACATATATGGATACAATTACAATCAAATAAAAGTCTTGATTTCAAGCTTCATCTCTCATCAATGAGGCATCAATAAATCTGACAAGATTACAGACAAAAGTGTAACTACCAAGCGATGTTCTGGTGTGTCCTACGTCCTACACAGGTACCTACATCCGTTAAACCTACTTCGCTTAAAGGAGTAAAGGTTGTTAGTTCGACTGGGTAATATGTTTTTTAAAATGCTACCTCAGTCAGGAATTCATTTAGGGGAAAACTTGCCAGATATATATATATATATATATATATATATATATATATATATATATATATATTAATGCACACATTTAAAAATATATAAATTAAACAAATGACACCTGTGCTTGTCTCATAGGACCAACGTTTAATGAGCAAGTGGTATGTGCATACTGTGATACAAGATGTGTAATGGAAAATAATGGTGAATGGTGGTTTCACGAGCAAACCCCAACATCTCCATTGCAGGTGTTGTGGTGATGATGTGTTTGTTATTATTATTGCATTTAATATCTACACCTTGTAATAATATAAAAAAAATGACCCTAAGAGTTTCTCATTAAATGTTAAGCAATCGTACTATGGAGTCCCCTACAGAGTGTTAAGTAACTTATAGATATGCTTAATATATACAAATAACCAGAAAAATATGAAACATTCATACAAAGTGTCATTTCAGATTTGATGGTATTTCTGTGAAATGCAACAGACACCAAGGCATCACAAACAGTGGACATTACAATGCCAATGACATTATTGCAGTGTTATTTGTAACCATTGTCCTGTTTTTGTTTCATATTTTCTTTTGAGCCTGCAGCACACACAGAAGCACAGTTAGCGGCAGAATAAGATGGAAATGCATGAAAGCCCTCGTTCAAAGCATTCTCGCTTCTCAAAAATACACAGAAAAATAAATGTCATCCTTTAAACTGTACAATTCCTTTCAAGCTTCTCTTGTGCATAAATAACGATTTCTGTTCATCTTGTGCATCATGTTAAATTCATCATGTTTGGTCCTTTTGGCAGATATATTAGTCTCTGTACACTTCTTCTTTTTCATCCAATAAGCATTGAGTATGGAAATATTTTCTCCAGATTTTATTCCAGGTAAATATCTTCTGTTGGACACGAGACCTCCACAAACTCCTTATAGTACAAATGGAATGCTTTCCTGTCCATAAAAGAAAGAACATGTGATGATTTGCTTTTTGGAATTTGATTATGAAGTGGTCCATTTATAAACGTGCAAAAACAAAGGGAAATCAGAACCATATAAACTTTTCCCAGTTGAGGACTTTTACTTTGAAATGCTTGGTTGACGCATCAATAATAGTGGTTAAAAATGATTTGTTAAACATAAAATGTGTGGTTATATATACATGCAAAAGTTCTAATAATTAGTAATTTTCACTGGATTTCACGTTTAGGTTCTGTGGGCTTTCAATACTAGAAATCTTTTAAAGATATGTTTTTCCTACACAACTCTTTGGGCATTTTATACATACCTTTTTATATTAGGTTAACATTGGCACTGAGACAAACACATTCATCTTTACTATCATTTGTGTTGTACCCTGTAATTTGATGCGTTTACAAAGTCCATATGAAAAGTTGGCTGATGTAGAGCATGTGAAGCGCTAGAGTCTGAAAATCCTTTCTTAATTTGCCTGATTTGTTAAGCTAATCCTCTGTTTTGGCTCTATCTTTTGAGGATATCTTCCTAGAATCTCTATAAGATGAATGAAACACTGAGGAGCTGCAGTAGTCATCGAAGAACCCCTTTAGACAAGCAAGATCTCACCTACCGAAACCTTTTGAAAAGGAAAATTTACAGAAAAAAGTCTTTACCAAATTTGAGTTTCCCATTTTAGAAAAAAGATTTGACGTTTGACACTATCTGACCTTCAATGTTTAAATGGTCTTTATAAAATAAAATTGAAAGTTTAGGTCATAAAGCTAAGAATGCCAGGATCTAGTTTGACTTGTGTTAAAGCGTTTAAAATCATCCAGCCACTAGGGGGCAGCGCTACACTTTGAAACATCAGGAGGGCTCAATGTTGGGTTCATTAAAAAAAAAGTTTGCCATTTCTTAAGTATTGGCAATAAACAAAAATACCTTCAGTTTAAAATATTACATTTATATACTATACTTGAGTGTCGTTATTATGTAGAGACTTAAAACACAAGAGATAAAAAATTAGCTGGCCTTTCAAAGTGTATTTATTAAGATATTTTAAGAATTATTTTGGCCCCTAAAGTAAAAACTAGAATATTGGGCTCTAGTGAGATACCAGATTAAGAAGCAGCTTGTTACTGTGTTTTCTCACCTGACCGATTCTGCGAGGGGTTTGGTGGACATTTCGGACACAAAGACGTGACAGGCAAACCTTTGATCTGCTGGATGTTTCGTGATGAAGCCAAAGTACCTGCAGAGATCAACACTGGTTAATGTAAAAGATTTGCATTTAATAATGCAAAGTAATATCATTAGGGCTGTAAAAATATATTGTAATACAAAATACGTTACAATACGTATCGTGGAGCTACTGGGAGATATTGTCTAGGAGCTGAAGTGCATTTGTTTCTTGGACTGATTGTAATTCTAGTCACTTCTGAAACTTCTTTATCTTGGTTTATGTAATATATACCAGAAGACAATTATCCTTTACTCACATTTTAAACGAGAAAGATTATAAAATTTGTTTTATCCATCACACAGTAAAACAGATGACTTAATGCAAAAATTAACACTGCCCTCTAGTGGATGGATAAATAAAGGACCACTAGTGCGAAGTAGAGAATGCCAAGAAGCAACTTGTGTTTTCGTTGAATGGGAGTGAGTTTGGGCAGAAGGATTAATTTCTGTTT